TCCACTTCACATTGGAACAATTTGGTCTTTTTTGGATTGCAGTAGAGCGATGATTTCTGGAGCGTGTTGATTACAAGTCGAATGTCTCTTTCATGGTCTTCAATATTGTCGGACCAGATAATATTATCGTCGAGGTATACATGGCAGATTGACCCAATGAGGCTTCGAAGGGCCTTAGTGACCCGACATTGTTGGATTGACGGCGCATTCCTCAGCCCTTGCGGCATGACTAGCCACTCATACAAACCCAAGGGGGTATTGACAGTGGTATATTTAACAGAGTCAGGATGCATTCGAGTCTGGAAGAAATTGTCGGTGAAGTCAATTACACTCCAGATTTTTCCCTTTGCACAGTCGGCGAGTATATCGTCGATTCGTCGAAGTGGGAAGGAGTCACGCTCTGTGGCAGCGTTGAGGGGATGGAAATCATTTACCCATCGTGGCAATACGTCCCGGTTCGCCTTTGGGATCAGGAAAGCTGGAGACGCGTGGGGGGAAGAAGAAGGACAGATACGACCTGCATCAAGGTGGGCCTGGATTAGGGTTTGCCAGGCATCCTTATATTTCCTAGAACTCTGGTACGAGCGTGTCTGGAACTGTAGATCTGCCTTCTTCAATTTGAAATCACAGTAGACGTCAGTAGGTAGTTTGTCTGTATGTGGCATGGGTTCAAAAATATTTTTGTATTCTGACTTCAGAATGTCTGCGCGTTTGTTCAGTTTGACACGCGGCGATAACATCTACCGGCTTGACATCCTTGAACAAATTATTGTTCTCCATATGCAGATGTCTGTTGTCGCAAACAACATTCAATTCCTTCAGCATTGTCTTGTGGTCACGGTCAGTTTTCCTTAGCCGCTCGCGCAGTTTAGGGTGAGGGGTAGGTTTGGCCTTGGGCTCGGGAGGATTCATGAGATCGAAGAGGCATCTCTTATCTATTACCGTTCGAGCGTTATGGTCGATGACGATGTGGTTCTTTTGGAGCCATGGTAAGCCAAGTATTATTGGGGCACAGGGGCCGGGCTAGACAAGGGCACGTACAGAGGTAGAAGTCCAAGCTTGATCTACAGAGTGTAGCTGGAGTTTAACATAGCGAGTAAGAACAGTATCGGTAGGTGTATCTGAATTGGAAAGTGCGAGAGAGACGGTTTCAGGTTTGTGCAGTTTATACGTAGGAAGGTTCAGGTCGTTCACGAGCGCTTCACTTATTATCACTAGATGGGTCCCGTTGTCAATAAGGGCTTGGACGTTAATAGGGAAGGGTGATTTATGGCCGTCGATGAGACAGGACCAGAAGAGATGGGGAAAAGAGGGTGGGGATGGTTGGAGACTCACATCATCATGCAAGAGATCCGGATCCGTGTCAATGCTCGAGTCGCTGTCAAATACCGCGGGCAGGACGATGGCGGCGACAGCAGCAGGCTTGGGCGCCAACGTGGTCGGGGCGGTGGCGGGAGCCTTGCCCTTGCGGGCTTTGTGTGCGTCAAGGCACAACTTCTCCATGACCTTGAAGTACCCAGCTGCAGTCATGAGTTCCACGCATTTGTCCGAGCGATGGCCGACGTAGGGGATTTGGCAGCAGTTGCAGCCGTCATGCTCGCAAAGGAGATCGCGTTCCGCTGATAAGCCGTAAAACCAAGTACACATGAATTTTGCGATTTTGCACGATTCAGCGTGTCAACACGCACTGAGGGACCATCAGGGCACTCTGACTGAGTGGTTCAGTCTATTAGCACAAGCTACGAGGTTAACGAGGACTTCTACCGGTACCTTCACAAATGGGGCCACCAGATATCTTAGTTAACTAAGGAAACTTGACGATGGTGGCAGAGAAACTAGGACATACAAGGCCTAAGGCTGCTTGCTAGGACACAAACAGCATACCAAAGAGGTCGTGAGGTTGAGATACCAATTGCTGGCAGGCAACAGCAGGAAGAACCCAATTATTCACGACAAGACTATTTAGACCTGTTTTACCCAAAACTGGGGACGCGTTTGATCACGCATTGGGTCCAGACCGAGTCTGGGGATGACTTGAACAGTAGGACATGATCCAGCCGTTTAGCCGCGAGGATAAACCAGAGAGAGAGAGACAGATTGCGATATTGTGGATGAACCACCAAACCAAACCAGGGACTATGGGGTATCATTTGGAAGGTAGAAGAGTTGTGCAGAAGCTTCAAGACTATTCAGGCCCGGGACTAGAGGCTACAGACGAAGAAGACACTTTCTATCCACTTAATCAGCAATCACATGTGTCGTGTCAAACACCACATGTCTACCATGTCTCAATAAGACACGACCAATCAGGAGCCAGGGATTAGGACTTGGGTGCCGCGAACCAACGGACATTGTACAGTAATCATCGTGATGTAAACCATAGGGCAGTAGTATAAAAAGGCAGCAGAAGGAGAGGGCAAGCTAGCACATCTAGGGGCGCTGTACACGTTGTGTCAGCCACTGGAACCGTCGCTCTGATAGCCGTGGAGGTTAGATCGCTTTGAACGAATCATATACCAGCCTCAGAACCAGAACACGGCAATTGATAGAACACGGCAATAGTCAGAACACGGCAAACAGACCCAGAACATTGAACAGAACACTGAAACCGTTGAAAGACACAAAAAGCGCAGACTTAACGGTCTTAAAACCTACCCTATACTGTCTCCTTGACGTCCTAGACATTACTTGTCCAATACAGCTTGACTTGACCAGTCAAACCTTGCAAAAGCGCGAGCAACCCTTAGTTAACTAAGCGATCGACCGAGAAACCAGCTGCTATCAAGTCTAATACTTGACTTACACCCCCGAACTTGCACTCTGACTCTCTCTATTGAGGGGTTAGTTGTCGATAGTGTTGTGTGTTGTGTGTGGTTTAGAGTTCATAGCTCTGCTGCATTAGCATTTCACATTTCGCATTCACACATACCTGAGAGTTAGCGTTTTCACCGCATCGGAGAGTAAGGGATTCTCCAAGGAGAAGGAGGAGGGGGGTTTATGGGATGTGGACGATGAGGCCTTTGAGCCTTGGTGTTTCTTTGGTGGGTGATCACCGTCGTCGTCGTTTTTCTCGTAGCAGGCGTGCTTATTCTCTTTGTTTGATTCGGCTATCATGTGGCACTGGATGGTCAGGTTGCGGCAGTGCTCCTCATCGATTCTGTTCACCGCACAGATGTATTGGGTGAGGGTGGTGGTTTCCTTGCCGACGAGCATCCGCAATTCAGTGTTGCATAGGCAAACGAAGCGGAGGTCGTCCGACATGCCAGCTTCCAGGTGGAGGCGGATCTGGGTGTCTGCAAGAAGGGAGGTGTGGCCGATGAGGCTGGTCGCAAATTCATCGAAGGACTGGTCGGCCGTCTGACGCATCAAGAGGATGTCAGTCCTGACTTGGGTCTCCCAATCGTCATCGAGGAACTTTTCCTTCACCTCCTTTAGGAAGTCAGGGAGGGTGAGGGCGATGAGCCGTTTGCATTCGGTGTTGGGACGGAACCAGTTGGTGAAGTGGGGGTCCATGAAGCAGCCTAGAATCATCGTTACCTGCTTGTCGGCGGCAATGTCTTTCAACGTCATGAAGTTGGTAACGGCAAGGTCAAACTCATCGATGATCAGCGGCGTAAGTTCACCCTTGTGTAGCGTGGGGAGCTTGGACACGTGTTTTTCAACCCACGCAAATTTGGAGTTGGCGGGGGCCGTCATGGTGTATGATATATCAGAGTCGTCGATGGAGGAGTCTGAGAGGCGTGGGGCGTGAGGCAGTAGGGCAGCAAATGATATCGACAGTGCTGGTGAGAGGGGAGAGGTGGGCGGCAAGGCGGAGACAGGGGAGGGTATGCGTGTGGAACGGGTACGTAGCGGGGTCTGTGTGGACGGTTTTCGCAACAGATTGGGTGGTTGGGGTTTGGGGTGTTTCGGTTGGGGAAGTGGCTGTGCACTTCTTCGACGTGGCACCTATTGGGGGACGGTGGTGAGCTGTTGGGCTTGTCGTCTAGGCACGATCATGTCCCTAATGGGGGTGGCGAGAGCGACTGTGGAGGCAAAACGGAAGCAGATCAAGGGATCTGCTTCGTTTTTGCTACCACAACGTTTGGGGTTTCAAATAAAGGCGGAAACTCACATAGTGCTACTAGGAGAGAAACACTAGACAGAAACAAGCTCAAGAAAAGGGACCAGCAAGAAACCAGAACGTTGCGTATATTTGAAACTTGAGCGAGAAGGTGGGAGTACAAGCAAGAAACAAGATAGATCACGTGTAATCCGGATGTGAGTAAAGCCAGAGCGGGTTTACAGTGTGTGAGCCAGCACCCAGCAAGATTACCTAATACAAGTAATGACTGAGAGTTCTAAGTCTAAAGGCCTATATGCTGCAGTGCCTCTGCAGCATCTTTTGGACCTCAAGCGCAGCATATTTTACAGCATACTGGTTTTCCCTCAAATGCTTCAAATTAAAGGGGGAACATGGGGGGGTATTCCCCCTCTAATATGAAGGGTTATGTGGGATTATTAGGTGTGCCCAGATTGCACGCAGGTAATGTTTGAGGCACCATTTCGTCACTACGGCGAAGAACAAAGCATCCGGGGGGACTATCCCCAGTGGACCGACAAGAGCCAAGTCCGAGGCGATTGGGCCGGTTTGGTCTTTCCCCATCGCCGCCTCATCGTGGTGGAAGATTCGCCATAGTCGCTTTGCTTTATCTGCACGTAATAAATTTAAACATGTTTCACTCGGTTATCCGGTAGTAGGTCCGAGTAGGTGTAAAGAATGGTAACCGTCGAAATATTGTACCCGGCTTGTGCCGTGATATGGGATTTTGATTGTCACCATTTGACTCTTCTTTATTTGACGCACCTAATCAATTTCTTTTGCCGTTTCTTTTTTTCTTTTGGTGTCCATACCATTAAATAAACAAGGTATATATATATATAAGCCTGAGGAAAGGTATGAAAGATTTTGCGAGGAAAGACAAGATTTTTTAAAAAAAATTGGGTTGTCAATGTCAAAGCGGCCGCGCCCCGAATCGAACAGGGGACTCCTGATGAATATTTAGAGAGAAAGAGGAATATATCTCAGGTGTGTTACCACTACACTATCAGGCCTGCCCTGTCGTAGGTAGATCACGGAGATAGACAGTGTCCATAAATGATATTGAGTCAAAATAATGAGATGCGATGTGATTGAAGAGAATATTAATGAGGTACGCTATGCGGTCTCCATACAGAACACCCGATACCAGGTTTGAATTCTCTGGACAAGAGTAAGAGGAGGGCTCGGTGAAATTAAAATGAATAATGTACCGTGCACGTCGCTTCAGATAAATTTTGCAAGCGCTCGCATTCTTGGGGATTTTTGGCCCTTGAATTCTCAGCTGCGAGGTCCCACTGAAGGGGATTGTGCTTCAAGGAATGGTACCCGAATTTTTGGAAATAGAGCTCAGTGATGTGGGTGAAAAAAGGTGTGGTGTTGTGGAGAAGGCTGGCTTCATAATAATGCGAGAGATGAGCACGGAGGAAGTTGCTTTTGAAAGGGTGGATAGAGGGTTTGCGTCCGGCAGGAGGGGTGGTGCGAGCTCAACGCGCTTTGGGGGGCATGGCAAATGGCAAAAGGAAGGAAGGAAGCAATATTCATATTGTGTTGGTAAGGCACCTGGGTTATCGATCAAGTGCCTGGATCTGTCAGAGGCAGATGATGGCATCAACGTGCCTTGCCTTGCCTTGCACTGATCATTGCTTGTCAGTGGCCAGTTGCCTTGAGTTGCCTTGCAACTCCGCAAATCCAGCCAGCCGCCGCTGCGTGCGACCCGCTGAAGAATTCAAGAATGTCTCACTCTCACCAATGCAAGGTCCCGAGACCTACGATGTTGGGACCGTAGACCACTTCCTCTGTCTCATACCGCAGCTCAGGCAGCAGGCGAGTGCTGATGTGGTACGGGGTCGTGGATCAGGGAGCGGAGTCCTCAATGGCCCCGCAAATCAACCGGTTTTGGGAGGAAGATTTGGCTACCAGCGCCGCACGGGCTAACCCTGATTTCACATTGATACGGCTCGTAACTGCGTGCCCGTGTAATCGTGCATTTTTGCACTTCTAGTCGCCAACTAGAGCCTCTATCCGGTGATATACAAGTAGAGTCAGAGTGAGCTCCGAGCTGCTGGTTAGGTGTTCATGACGCGAGAGGACTATTGTCTTCTAGATACAATACAGTTTGATCCTTATACCATTGGGGGTTAGCGTGCGGTGTCTGGGACTCAGTGGGCTTCATAGTATTGAATTGATTTCGCAAAGGGTCGGTTGTACTAAAAGCTAGACACTGTATCGAGGAGGTAAAAATGCCTAAACTTGAGAGACATGCATGAAGTCCACAGATTGGGCATGGAAAGTCATATATATACACTAGACTCTGGATGGGGTCTAGTCGCGACAACTATAACTTGGTTCGCAAACAGTAGTTCGAGCGAGAATCATGAAACCGAGAAAGCCGAGACATCAGAGATTGTCGGGAAATGATCGTGACAAGTGTCAATCATGGAAGGACGTGTTGAGACGGCAATCACACATAACAAGATAGTCATCAGAATTGATGACAGGTGCTTGGACCGAAGGAATGAGCGAGATGTGTCGATACAGCCGGACGGCTATGTCGCATCGACCAATAGAGAACTAGAAATATGCCGCGACCTACGTGGTCGCGCGGCAAGCAGTTGGGGCGCGTGTCCGGCTAGCATACGTGCTAGGACCGGCAGGCCACGGGAACAAACCAATATACCTAGTATGGGTTCGAGCTGGTCAAATCTAGATGACTAGTCTCGGCCTCAAACTACAAATACCAGCGGCATACCTCCACAGTTCCGTGTACATCAAATCTCTCTTATATCTTGACTCATTTCTCATTACTATCTACAATTCCTGTATTGTATATAAAGCCTAGCAGATCCCGCGATTCAGTACTGCATCTCCCACCAAGGTAACGGTGTTGGTGCTGATCTGAGCCTAGCGTGGAGATACGTTTATATAACTATCTTTGTTGTTATTGTTCAAATATAAAGTGGTCTTGTTGGCATATATAAGCTTTAAAGGACTGAAGCCGTGTTCGTGGAGAGTCGCGACACTAGTGTGAAAGGCACCTGTTGATTGTTATCTCAGGTCTGCTGTTGGCACTGTTCCCGTGAGTTCAGTTGCAGTACCCGGTCGTTGGCTTCCGTTCCAGTGAGTTCAGTCGCAATCACAAGTCTAGATCCAGTGCAGTCTCCGTCAGAGTACGACAGGAAATACTATCTAAGTCTAGAGAGACTTATAGGTCTTCAAGATATCTTTTTGAGGTGTCTAGAAGTATAAAACATATAAAATCCATATTGCTTCAGTCGAAGTAGATAATCCCTGGTCAATCTTTGACTACTTTTGTGCTGATATTAGTCCTAATAAGACTTCTATCAAGTTGGCATTTTCGAGACATGAACCTGAGAAGTTCAATCTTACCTGTAAACTGCAGGACGACCCGAACTCAATTGTGTGTGTGTGTGTGTGTTGGTTGTAGTGTTTTTAGTTGGTTAGTTGCCGTCTAGCAGCTTGCTGATTATCTTCGCGAACATCAGTGTACCCATAGTCACCGTTTTAATGTATCTGCTGGGGGACGATTCGTTGTCGTCGCAGCGAGACAACCTGGACGTGCTGGACGATGGGATTGAGCTCGTAATGATGCACCCAAGGAATGCGAACTCCGTATGTTTTTTCTTCGCTTTTTTCAGTTACTTTTTTTTGGAGGTTTTCGTTCTTTTCGTTTCGGATGTTCTATATCGGATTAAAAAATACTTACATTACCTTTTGGCAGGACCAGCCGTTTAAAACATGGTACCCCCATAACGATGAGTACGTCGGGGAGCAGCTGCTGCACGAGGGCCACGGTCCGCCCGGCATGCACACACATTGCACGACTAGTGACTGTGCCGAGGCGGTGGAATTCCGTTGCGTCGACCAGGCATGTGTAGGAAATGTCATGTGCTGCGCGAGGTGTATCGTCGCCACTCATGCTCAGCTGCCGACGCATGTTGTCGAAGTGGATCTACATATTTTAAATTTAGCGGCAAGGGACTGACAAAGACGTAGCAATGGACGGGCACCTATTTCAAGCGGAGCCGTACCGGGGCTGTGCGACCTCGGGTTAGGTATTCAGCTGGGACACCCACCCGGCATGGTGTGCCCTTTCAAATGGGCGGTGCTGCACGACTTTGTTCTATACGATTTGTCAGGCATCCACGAGATCAACGTGGATTTCTGTGGTTGTATGAGGCAGGTGCGTGCAAGAGAGGGAGGGGGCCCGGACGGGGAAGATGTCTGGCGAGACATAGAAGGGGATTTTGCTTGGGAGGATGTAGCGGTCGAGGACGTTCGTGTGGCCCCGCAGCGCATACAGCTGCTCCGCACCTGCTGGTGGCCGGGGACCGTCCGCGCACCCAACACCTGCACGATGTTCGCGTTGTGCCAGCTTTTCCAGATAATAAACTGTCTGGGGAAGCTTTCGGCGTATGACTTCCTGTGGGGACTCGAGCAGTGCACAAACCACGACGGCTTGAACAAGCCTCCAGTGAGTGTGGTACTTTCTGACTTGGGTTAGAACCGTACTGATGGAAAGAGCAGGACAGGCAGAAGCCTTTCATGCACATCATGTGGCAGTGGCAGGAGGTTAAGCACATGAAACGTGGGAAGAGGGGGCATGCAGCGGGCGGTGTGGCGGCCACAGAGCAAGGGGAGTTGGCGCTGATGTGTCGTACCTGTCCCCAGCCGGGATGGAACCTGCCGCCTGACTGGGAGAACATCGATCCATTCTTTCGGTGAGCGCTGCATGTTAGATAGATATGTGCATTGATACTGACGGAGGCGGTGCGAAGGTATATCTACTGGTTATTCCTCACGCAAGATGCGAACTTCCGGCTCTCGAACCAGAACGTTTCGATGGAAATCGCAGATCCCATCCTGGGCGATGGATTGGGCTACTTCTGCAAATGCGAGGGTGAGGATGGGTACAAGGTGCATATCGTGAAACACGTCAACGAGGAGGAGGTCTCGAGTTGTTCAGGATTTCAGGCTATGTTTATAGCGAACACGCGGCGGGTGAAGGGCCTGTGAACAATGGGGATAGGGGGTGTTGCATGTTCCAGGCATAATATGTGGCGCCCGAATGGGATCGGGGACCTGCAGGCCGGCGAATGGTGAGGAATTATTGTTTCACGAATGGAGTTACAAGCTGATTATTGTGTAGATATTGTAATATGGATTTCCTTCTACTCTCTTCCGGCCTGTCGTTTGCCCTGTTGTGCTTGGTGGTGTCGTACGACATCGCTTGCCAGTACGCAGCAAATTTTTGGGATCGGATGGGAGAGATGCCGGAGACGATGCGGTTGTCCTTGGAGGAAACGGCAGTATGGTGGAAAGTCCCAAATTTCCACCTGCCGGCGCACAAGAAGAAGTGTCATGCTCCATACTCCTTTCACTGGATGTGGGGAGCCAGGATGACTCACGGGGAGGGGGTGGAACAGAACTTGTCTTTTTCGAACGGGGCTGTGGCGTCAGCAAGGCTGATGGGCCTGGGGGCGAGGCAAGCGATGCTGGAGGACGTTTTTGGATTCCACAATTACGACTGAGTGCTAGCAATGCGTGAGTCATTGGTTTCCAGGTAACAGAAGGAGACATGTACTAACGGGGAAGATCACAGATCGCGTGCTACCTAAGCGACTCGCAGTCAGCATCAAGGAGGGCACAAAACACAAACTCACCTTCGATACGTTTACGGCAGAACTGGAGGAGCAACGGCCGGAGGAAGTAGCAGAGTGAAAGGAGTGGGTAGGAAAGTGGGAGGCCAAGCAGCAGACAGACACAGAGGACTCGCCGTTCAAATTCCTGGAGGAAGGTAAGCAAGCTACTGCGGCTTCATGTGAGGTGACCGAGACTAAAACGGGGATAGTAACGATGCTGCGGAAGATACAACTGCAGATTGGGATGGAAGAATTTCTTTGCACTGACGATGGTGTGGAGGTCGAACAGGAGCATACGCCAGGGTTGTTTATTACAGAAGGCCTGGAGATCGAAGAGGTCCAGTGAGTTGATT